AAAATGAGCACATCAGATTTTTTTTTTTTAATGCAGAAATAGGTAACTAATTAATCATCTCTTCTTATAATTCACTTTTTTCTGCCCCATCAACCCCACTCTCATTGTTAAAAACTATCTAATCTCAAGTCAAAAGGCACCTCTTCAATGAAACCTTGATTCTCCAGAGAGAATTAATGTCTCTTTCCAAAACAATTTATATTTTTAAAAAATTTACATTATGGCATGTACCATATTTTATCATCTATTACAGTGTATATTTGTTTTCATTTCAGTATAAACTCTAAAAGGGCATAGTCTGTGTTACTTACTTTTATATTCTCCACAAACCTCACAAGGAGCAGAACTGAAATACATGAGAATAACAAAAGCAATAGCCTAGACAAGTGTTATTTCATTTCAGTTAATACTGCTTTTATTTTCTTACCTGTGGGATCCCAAGTTATATTGTGTGCTATTGATTCCAGAAAAAATTGACCACTTTTCTGCCATTGACTATATAATTCCTAAAATTAAAAAAAAGTCATTTAGCCAATTATGATTGACATCTTTTCTCTGTCAAATGTATATGTTCATTTTTATTATTCTTATAATAATACATGCAGTCATTTTTAAGGAAAACAAAACGTATCAATTCAGTCAAGACAAATAGGGAATATACGATGGAGGATATTAGTCAAAGAGTACATTACTGGAGGTTCAAAAGTCTATCTTTATTATAAATAATCATATGCCATCTTGGATAACAGTCTTATTAAACTCTGATTTAATTATTACTTGATTATAGTTACAGTGAAAAGTTTAATTTTAAATGTGTGTCTGTGGCTCAGCTATTTTAGGTTTCCAGATTTCCTTTTTTTTTTTAAGAGACAGAGTCTCACTTTCTCACCCAGACTAGAATGCAGTGGCCCTATCCTAGCTCACTGTAATCTCAAACTCCTGGGCTCAAGTAATCCTCCTGTCTCAGCCTCCCAAATAGCTAGGACCCCAGGCAAGCACCACCTGGCTAATTTTTTATAGGGACAGCATCTTGCTATGTTGCCCAGGCTGATCTCAAACTCCTGGCCTCCAGTGATTCTCCCACCTAGGCCACCCAAAGTGATGGGATTATAGGCATGAGCCACTGAACCCTGCAAGGATTCGTATCTTTTAATGTTTCATCCTTATCTGAGATTATCATGCTATGTAGGAAAATTCAGAATAAAAGATGTAACACCTCCATAGTATTATATAATTTAAGTCCTTTCCATTTCTTAAAGCAGTATCTTTCAAATGTTTTGGTCTGCACATCATTAGGAAATGTATGTTGCACTGTGACCCAGAACACACATACATACATAAATGCAACCCAGATTTACTTTTTTTTTTTTTTTGAGACAGAGTCTCACTGTGTTGCCCAGGCTAGAGTGCCGTGGCGTCATCCTAGCTCACAGCAACCTCAAACTCCTGGGCTCAAGTGATCCTACTGCCTCAGCCTCCCGAGTAGCTGGGACTACAGGCATGCGCCACCATGCCCGGCTAATTTTTTCTATGTATTTTTTTTAGTTGTCCAATTAATTTCTTTCTATTTTTAGTAGAGACGGGGTCTCACTCTTGCTCAGGCTGGTTTTGAACTCCTAAGCTCAAACAATCCGTCCGCCTCGGCCTCCCAGAGAGCTAGGATTATAGGCGTGAGCCACTGCGCCCGGACAACATACTGATTTTTTAAGTCACTTATTTCATTAAACAAATATTTATTGAGTATTGAAATATATTGCTCTGGGTGGGAGGACCACCTTTAAAATTTACTTTAGGACTGCCAATTACTAATTCATAAGGCTTTAAGAGCCTCTAATATTGGCTTCGCGAGGTAATCTATAAGCACAAATAGAAATCGGAGAATTGTGGACATTCCTTTCATGAAATTTAAAAATGGATATCAATTAACAATGAGAAAATATTTTTAACGCAAAGTAGGGAAAAAGTGCTCACACCTAGGAATCAATACAGCTGGTTTTACTCTTAGTTCTGTGGCTTAGTAGCTGTTTCATTAGTCAAGTTGCTTATTTTCTTTGAGCCTAGTCTACTGTCTTATTTGTACAAAAAAAGAAATAATAGCTGCCCAAACTAGGTCATATGTAATCTGTAACATGACAACTATCAAAAGATATATAAAGATATGTCTACTATTAAACACTGTTTAATTCTCTATAATTAATACATTTCTACACAGTCTTTTACTTCATGTCATCCTTATAAGACACCCAAATCAAGAATGAATAGATATGAGGCTGGGCGTGGTGGCTCAGGCCTGTAATCCCAGCATTATGGGAGGCCAAGGCAGGAGGATCACTTGAGGCCAGGAATTCAAGGTTTCAGTGAGCTATGGGTGTGCCACTGTACTCCAGTCAGACCGACAGAGTGAGGCCTTCTCTCAAAAAAAAGTATCAATAGTTATTAATCAATATCAGAGTTGAGCAAAGAACCACACAAGGCTGACTTACTTAGGATCAAATAGCTAGAAGGCAGCCAAAAGAGAAACAAGGCCTATGACCCCCAATACATTGCTCTTTCAACTATATTATGCCGCTTCTTTTTTGTATGGTTTTAATCACTAGTTTAGTCTTCAGCAGAAATGGGGAAAATAATGTGATCCATCTGTTATATTTAAGATCACTAAAGCACCTACGAAATCTACTACATAGTCCCAATATTTATGATCTACTGGTTAATTCGTTTTCAAAACTATTTCTGAATATAGCTTCCTTATAAAGAAAAACATTCATTAACCTATTAATAGTTGTATTACATGATCTAATAAATGCAAGAAAGTAAGTCCTGAAAGTATGTTAACATTCTGCAAGTAAAATATGTATTAAATAACTTTAAGAACAATATACATATGAAAAGAAAAGGCAGAAAAACTGTATGAAGGTAGACCATAAAAACAAAGAATAAAATGCCACATATGGCTGGACAATGGTGTTTGATACTAGCAATAAAGTGACTGCCAAACTTTAGGTTATTGACTGTTCAAATAGTTATTATAAAATAAAGTGTCACATCAAATTGGTATTAACTGATCAACACGTAAGTGCACATCTAAGAATAACATCTATTGGATGTTGGGCAGGGGGGAGGGGGGAGGAGGGAGGAGGGGACGGGTATATGCATACACAAAGGTGCAATGCGCACCACCTGAAGGATGGACATATTTGAAAGTCGGACTTAGAGGGGAAGGGGGGGCAAGGGCAACATATGTAACCTAAACATCTGTACCCCCATAATATGCTGAAATAAAAAAAAAAGGTGTCAGAAGGAAATAAAGTAAA